TAGCTGGTCAAAAGGTTTTTGTTTTTGGTCGAGCTAGTTGAACTCCTTGTAAGCCTTTCCTCTGCCCCCTTTAGATGGCGTTTCCTTGCGTTAATGTTTTTTAGTGATGTATGGCATCTGCTGATTTGACAGTGTATTAAAATTGCAGACTTTACACCGGAATACATGCTCTCAAGCCAAAGCCAAAGTTCAAAACTGGCGCTATTTCTGAGTCTACCACTGCCCTAAACATTGGGCAGAAAAACACCGTGATCAAGAGTGTAGACCAGAAGAATGCAGTGTCAGGTGCCGCAGCCCAACTGCCTTCTCCATTGGCCCCAAAATTTGAAAATGGTCAAGATTTTCCGGCAGCTTTAACTTCATCAACTGAGACTGGCGTTTCAGTGTCACAAAAGAAGGAAGTTGCTCTTGCAAAAGTTCCGACAGACAAAAAGAAGATGGATGCAAGAAAGAAAAGCTTGAAGAGATTATAAAACATTCGTCGATCTTTCCGACATTTCCCATTTATTCAAAGTCGTTGATATGCGAGGCTTAAGATACTTCGACTTATTTCATTATGTTTTTGTCACGTGACATGTTTCAGACTCGAGATCTTTTGAGTATATTTTTATTCATGAAATGGTTCTCACATCCGATACCTCTTTAATTTTTATACAACAGCAACATAACTACAATGAAGAAGTGCTCACAGCCAACTTCTCGATATGAACAATTCTTTTAAAACCTCACAGCCAACTTCTGGATTATAACTTGAACCCGTGATCGACCTAGAATGACTTAAATCCACACAAATGGAACACTCTTTCTGTCCCGCGTACCAAATCAGAGACGTGCTCGATTATCCTATGCGACAGCCATTTGGTATATTGACCCAATTGCAAGAAGAAATTGCATCACGAATATTTAATTAGACAGAACTCAGGCTCACAAACAAGGATGGAATACAAATTTAAACTGCTGCAGATTCGAGTAGCAAACATAACACAACGAAAAAGAGAAAGAAATTCCACCAACATTACAGCAAACTATTTAAATTCGTTAACTTAAACACCATAATAAAATGATAAAAAGGAAACTAGAAACCCCTTGCACTATTAAACCTTGTTCATCTAACCTTTTTAGTATGTAATTTTAATATTGATAAGTCGTTCTAGATTTTGGTTGAGGTGAGGTCATCACTTAGACATCATAATCTTCACAAACTCTTCTTAATTGATTTGTCCATCACCATCAACATCAGACTCCCGAATCATCTCGTCAACATCCTCATAAGTCAACTTCTCGC